GAAAAACGAAAATATAATGATCTCATAATAAGAGCTGAAGAATGTGAAACCCAATATAGTAAAATATATAACTGTGTTTCTTGTTTGAGATACATTGTTGTCTTGACAAATAAAACATTGTAGTTGTTTCATATCTTTCTCAAATAAACGTAAATCTATGGTAAAATTCATGAGGGTTGGGTTCATTCATCAAAACCCTCTGACGTATACCGACAGTGTTTTCTTCTTCAATGTAACCATCACCCTCATATTTTGGAGTAAATCAAACAACTCCATTTTTTTTTCAAATTGTATATACTATACTTAAAAAGACCTATGTGAGATGATATATTTTGATTTATCATTGCATGGCTTTCTGTGTGTTCAAAATTACTTCACCAAAACCAGGAAAGTAATATCATATTCATAATCTAGTTTTGAAAACTGATTGCGATTTCTTCGATTTTTCCAGCTGATATTTCAAACATGAAGAATCAGGCTTCACGTATATAATGAATTCGAGGCAGGCATAGAGGAGACGAAATGATCGCCATCTAGAGGCGAAAATTTAACTTGATGTAGAATGGACAAAATATTTCATTGATATTACATATTTCGTTGCTCTATTCAAGCAAATGATCCGTTCGAAACAAGTTGATTGCTACATCGGAATAAGAAAACTTGTATGTTGTTTCAAAGATATATTCTCATCAAAATGATCATTATTTGATCAAATCAACAAAATGTTGATAGTTGAATCAACATCGACATTAATTTGGATCGACATTATTTGTTTTTGCATGATGAGAAAACCATATATTCTGTTGATAGAATTGATATTATACTGTTGATTCAATTAGACTATACATTCTTGATTTGAACAAGCTGCTTCCATGAAATAATCATGTATCTGGTTGATTCAACAAAAAATTGCTCAGTCCAACAAAAATAATTCAAGAATAAATAATTGGTTGATGCAAGGATCAAGGATCAATTTTGGCACCAACATTATTCCTGCTTCATATCAATGATCTGTTGGGAGTAACAACTTGCCCCATCCACAGCTTTGCAGATGATAGTACCCTCCATACTGCGTTCTCTTCTAGAATTCCTATTTCTTCCCAGGAAACTAAGAACTCACGGCGCAGGCAGGTCAATGCTGTCAATGAAGATCTTGCTGAAATCACAGCCTGGGGAACGAACAACCTAGTTGAATTCAACGCCACCAAAACTCAAGCCTGCATTTTCTCTAGAAAGGCGGAACTCAGTATGCCCGATATTGTAATGTCTGGCTCCACCATCCCCACCAAGCCCACCATATCTATGCTCGGTATTTCCATCAGCAACACTCTTTCATGGGATAATCACGTCAGATCCATCGCAAAAGCTGCTTCACAAAAACTCGGATTCTTGTTCCGTGCGAAAAGCTACTTTACACCCCAACAGCTTCTCATGATCTACAAAGCGCAGATACGGCCTGTTCTAGAATACTGTTCCCACATATGGGGTTCAGCACCAAAACATACGCTGATGCTCTTAGATTCCATCCAGAGAAGAGCCATTCGTCTGGTGGGTGACGCCACACTCACTCACTCCTTGACATCATTGGAACACCGTAGAAAGGTCGGCGACCTTTCACTTTTCTATCGATACTTCCACGGGAAATGTTCTTCGGAAATCTCTGCAATCATCCCTTCACTAGCAATACCAATCAGACGAACTAGACAAGCCCAGTCAGCACATCCTTTCGTCGTCAACCTCGAAAGATGTCGAACAGCACTTTATCAAGACTCCTTCATCCATAGAACGGCTAGGCTCTGGAATTCATTGCCTGTGGAAGTATTCCCAACAACATATAATCTCCAAAAATTCAAAAAAAATTCCAATACCTACCTCCTGTCCCTATCCTCCCTAGGAACGCACGATGTTCTTTGAACATTATAGGGATTCCCTTTCGTGCGCTCCAATCGATAAAAAAAAAAAAAAAAAAAAACAATACTTTTTTCCGTGCATATTTCCTATTTATTGTATTTTCTATATTTTATGTTGAAAAAGACAATTTTTTGTTGTTTTTTATTTCTCCTCTTGAACGAAAGTAAAATTTGAGCGGTGCTATCATGTTATTTTTGGGATCGAAAACGTTTTCGATATTCTTTATCTCTAAATGCTTCAATTCAGGTCGTAAGCAAACCCGTTTATGCAAATGACCGTGAAATGTGAATCACCCTGTAGAGGATGTCGTTACTCGTTACTGTGATTATACTCCCACAAAAACATCTGATTATTATAGACTCCGTACGAAAAAAATATGGTCATTACTCATTAGTATGGTAAACAGGAATCTGATGGCTGAATGAGAAGAGATCGGCTGTAGTTCCGTTTATTTGTCATCATCGGAAATGAGAACAGTGAACACTCATTATAATTTCAGTGATACTCATTTACGAATCAACACACTAAGTGCACCACTCAGGATTGGATCAATTTATTTGCGGTTTTCAGAATCAGAAAATAGTTATTTGTTTTACTAGACAGAAAAGGACAAGATTTAGCAGAGGCTAGGAAACCAGCCAAGGCATTGAATCACAGTTACTGAATCTTCTTTTCTGCCATGTGAAACATACATATTTTTTTTCCAAATGTTATAAAACCAATTTTGTGTCAGAGGGTGATCAGAATTCTGAATCTTGAACAACCCTGTATCTGTTCCGATTAAATATCAGTAAATAGTGAATCACAAGTTGAGATAGGGACATGTGAGCCGTTTTGTTCGATAATGAATAGTTTCGACACAAAAAAAACTATAAAGTTGGAAAATCTCGATTTTGAACACCCTATATCTCTGTAATCATATTCGATAGACTCCAAGTGCGATACATCGATAAAATCAGCTCTTTAGGGAGAATCTAAAAATACGATAAAATAAAGGGTGTTCCACATGAAATATCAATGTTGCTACTACTTTCTAGTAGAAGCGGCAACACTGCATTGCCGAAAATATCTGTAATGAAAAGAGCGTATCCTAAAATATAAGCTTGCACATTTTCAAGGAATTCTCCCAACTGATTCTCGATATACAGATAGTGTAAGCTCGATCTTCGTGACATACCCTGTATAAGTATTCTCCTTCTCTTCTTATCCTCCCTATAACGCACGATATTTTTCCAATATCATAGGGATTGCCTTCCGTGCGCTCTAAGCGATAAAAAAACTGTAGTAAGGACAAATCAGATGATTACCAAAACGACTGCACCTTCATCAATAATAACAACAATCAGTATCAAATTATAAAAGAATTTTGAACAATGATATAAAATAGTAAGTGTTCGCGGAGATCTGGAGAAATGAATGACTCAAGAAATCATTCATTATTACTTTTCATCCAATTGTGAATTGGGAAGAAACTCCAGAAACGTCTTGAGAGGAAGTCCTCCAGAAAATGTATGCAGTCAAAAAACGGTCAAATTCTGACTGAATTCGCAGTTTCATCAACAAACGCGACTTGGTAGAGAATTGTTCGAGAAAAACTCAAAAGATTTCTACAGAAAATTGAAACGTTGCCGACTTTCAGTGCATGTTAGAAAGATGCAGGCATCAGGTTAGGTCATTGTAAGTTTCTGTGAATGTGGTAGTGTCGGGAAATCTGAGATTCCAGACATTCAAGACTTACATGATTAGTGCATTTGATATTGAAATTTCACACAAGAATTCATTCGTAGTATTTCTCGATTCCATATTAATCATGGAAACAAGCTGCGATTTTTTTCAATTTCCATTGGAATATCCTTAATAAATTATAGTAGCCGAACATAAAACATAAATTGTGATAGATTTATTATTGATAATAAATTCTCGAAATCTTGTGACTCGTTAGTCGTTACTTTGTATATCTATTAAATTCATAACTTAATTGCCAACATTTATCATGAATATCTTGGTTGCATATAATCTCATTGCTTTGAAAACACAATTTATAGAGAATGTCGCGAATTGCATCTCTTTTACTATGAATATACAGGGTGTAGCCATATGTTGTCCATCTTCAGTACCAGAAGAGAAAAATCAAGGAATCTGCTTACATTCTTCTGAACGGACAATAGCATTACGTCCTGTTCAGTTGATATAGATAGAACATGGTATTCACTACTGAAATCTGTAAATGAAAATGGTAAATTCGAGATAAATTAATGAAAACATCTTGTAACTCATTTGATTGCCAACGTCACCTATTGTCACTGAAAACTGAAAATTTTCAAGACAAATACGAATTTGCTATTCAAATATCCAGTTTTTATGTTGAAAACGGGAGCAGATTCGTTCCCGAAACGTCCAAAGCTAAGTGAAAATTTGATATTTTTTCTATATACCTTTAGTTCTCTTCTTCAAACCTTTTTCAATACAAATTGTCACTGACAAGCTAGTGAATGTGAATTTTTCTTTTAGGTTCTCTGATAGGAATCCCTATATATACAGGTGTTTCATAGATTGAACATTTAAGGTATCCCCAAAAAAATAAATCGAGTATATACCTATATGTTATTGAATGCGATGTTCTCTAGATCGGTACAAGATATCGATTGAAATGAAGTACACGAATTTTTGCAGAAAAAAGATGAAGGGATACTATACTATGAAGTATCATACTATTTTGTAGTGGTAATATTTGATATAGTATAGTATTATACAATTTTGTTGTGGTATTATTAGATGAATGTTGTGACTGGCGCCTATTTTACTAAACGTTTGGTATTTACTACCGACTATTTTCGTCAGAGATCAGCCCAATCATTCACATCACCTTTCCGGACACATTGTATATTTGAATCACCTCAAAAACCATCTCACGTCAAACGATGGTAGATTCCGACTCTACCTCAATCCAACCATTACAATAGATCAGTAACAATAATTATCACACACACACACGATGGGAGGAGGGGATACAACTCGTGCTCCGATTGGCCTGCATCTCAGGTACGGTGAGCAGGTGAGACTCTCATCAAAACACAGCATCACTTGACCAAGTATCTTGGCTTAAACGTGACTGGACACCCGCGAAAATCAAATCGGGAAAAAACTAGACAGAGATACGTCGTCCAAGAAATTGATTAGTCTTCAATAAACCATTGATAAACATTGAGACTTTGTTAACACCAAAAAAATAAACTGTTGTTAGTCGTTCTTGGTGTTGTTAGATAGACAAACATGGTTTATTGCACGTCAAACAGAGAGTGTCTTAGTTCGAAATGAGGTGTGCGACAAAAAGGGCTGGGTAGGTTTTTTCCGGTATGTCTTGACAGATTTCGTGTGTGCCGTGTTTTTTTAGTGATGTTTTGTGGATCGGAAAAGGAATTTTGGCTGATAAATCAGCATGTACCTTAGCCGCATGATAGAGGGAAGGTTAGCACTCCTAGTGTGGATTTTTTCGTTGTGGTCTGCAAGGTAAATGAAATCTCCAGTTTTTTACCCGTTTATACTCACTTATGAATCACCATGTATTCTAGATGATTTTAATTAAAATCGGTTTTGGTTAGCTCTGTCATAAAAATATATTGATTTCTGACCAGTAAAAAAGGTTTATCCATTTTCTGCTATGAGTTCGTAAAATTACGCGATAGTAATTTACGTAACAAGCCCGGATATTACTGTTTTTCTTGGCGAGTAGACAAAATTCTAGGCCGAGTCCTGAAAGTCTGCGAGTCCAAAACAATTGTTTTTGGACGTGCTGCGTACACAATTTTTTCGGCAACCCTATGAAGAATAACAATTCAATGAGACACATTTCCATATCATATCATATCATACATTGGAAATTTCGTATGGACCTTTTCAAACTCTCTATCGCTGCTGCTTTCGATAGTTTATTACGATAATTGCAACCAAACTTCCATAAATCCAAATTTCAACTAATTTCATGTCAAATACACTCAGTTCCAAAAAAAGTGACGCACTTGACATTTGACCTATCTTCTTAAAAAAAATAGTAGGCCGATTTTTATTTTTTTTTATTTGTTGGTAGGTGATGCATTTGTCTTTAAAAAAAATAAAGAGGTGAAAATTTTTTCAAAGCCTCCTTGATGGTGGTGGAATAACTCGAACCTTCATTCTTGATTTTTGACTCACCCTGTGTGTTGATTGAGTAATGGTATACAAAGTGCTTACACCCTATACGAAAGAGGATTCTTTTGCGAGCATTTTGTTTTTTTATTCATTGATTTATCTCTATAATTTTCCGAATTACAGCTTTTTTTGCTGAATCCTTGCAGATTACCAACTTTCTGAATTTATCGAGAAACAATTTTCTAATGAAATGAACTGATACCAATAATTTTAAAAAACATTTTTATTCAACACAAAATAATAAATTGGGATGACTGCTTAATACCGTGTATTGCCTCCTCTAGCAACTCTAAGAACTTCTAATCTACGAGGCATACTGGAAATTAAGTTGCTTATCGTTTCCATTGGTATACGATCCCATTCTTCCACTAATGTATCTGCCATTTCTGCGAGACTTTCCGGAGACCTCTCGCGAGAACGTTCATCCCACAAATGTTCTATAGGATTCAAATGCATCAATAAAAAATAAAAAAAATCGGCCTACTATTTTTTGTTTTTTTTTTAAGAAGATATAGGTCAAATATCAACTGAGTGTAGTTGTCAGCCGATATTTCGCTGCTATGGTAATATTATCATCTGCATTTATCAAAACTTTATCTAAAAAGATTTTCATAGTTACAGTGACAGCAACCATGTGATACTTCCCAGCCTAGTCTGGGAAGTACCTATACTTCCCGGACTAGGCCGGAAAAATGCTACTTTCCCAAAGAAAAAGCATCCGGGAAGTGAGCACTTCCCGGACGGTTGCCGAAAGAATAGTTATTGGTCCATGATTCAAATTTGAACATAAAAAATTTTCCATTTTCCAAATTATTGTCTAACTCTATCAGTTTATGCTTTATTCGCTCTTGAAGTTGTTTGAATCTCGCACTTATAACATTTTTATCATTTAAAATTTTGAAGTTGCCAAGTGACAGTGGAAAAAAGGCAGTAATCAAAAATGACAATCACGAACAACACTAACAACGAACATAATTTTGAAGTAAATTTTTGACAAAAGTTGTGGAGAAATTCGAAATACAATTTTAACCTTGAACACCCTGCAACATTTGTATAAGAAATGTTGGGCTGAAGGCTGAATGTCTGAAAGTTGGTGTTCGATGGCTGAATCTTCATATTTTGGTGTTTATTATCTGTAGTTCAGAGATTGCCCGCATTTTTAATAATCTCTCGTTATATAGGAATAATTGGTGAGTACTTAGATACCATAATAGTTTTCTTTTATCTCTTGGGGCGCACGAAAGGATATTCCTATAATGTTCTGAGAACATCGTATTGGATTTTTTTTTTAACTTTTGGAGATTCTTGTGGATATTGCGTATTCTTGAAGTTGTTGATAAGTATACCCTTAAACTTTTATCGTCCATCTCATATGAAATTATTGGGGAACAAGAAACTACACAGAAAAAAATAGCGGGATGATAGTACACAGAGAAAAAAATAATCTCAATATGAATCTTGAATATATTCAAAAGAGTATTATCGAGCGAATATTGGTAAAATTCTGTGTACAGTGTGTCCCAAATTCGATCTTCACCATTGGGATCTCGGTAACTATATGAGAGATAGAAAAGTCAGTTATTACGCGAAAGTTTCAGCAAATTCAATCTTGACTCAAAATCCGTTAAGAAATTTAGACTAGCTTCATACATTTTTGAGTTATTCAAGAAAAACTTGAATTTAGTATTCTTGTTCTTCTCGAATATCTCCAAAAATTATTGATTGTATGATAAAACGACTTCAACATTCTAATAGTACTTAATAGTGATCTTTTTAATGGTTTTGTCAGTTTTTGTTAAAAATATCAAGTTTCTGAGATGTGTAGTTTTTCTTTTCATTTGTTTTTTTCTTTAAATCGGCAGAAATAGGGTCACTGGATTGGTAAGAGTTTGGACACAGATGAACTTCTGTCCTTTTCTATTTTCTATATTACAATGGTTTGAGTAAATAAAAGAATAAGACATATATTCTGCTCTTTTTCTTTTCAATTTCTCTAATAGCGCCTGATTGTCAGATACGATTTCAGAGAATGTAAAAACCTGACAAACGATGGGATTTCCACAAAATTTTTAGTCACACGACATCTTTCGCTTCGTCAGGTGAAGTAACGGCCGAGTCGATTCAAAAAACGATTTTAGAGGTTAGATTTCCTGTCAAATCAATCAGAGCCGTAGATGAAAAACGCCATTCAATGATATATCACGATGAAATTTTCGAATTCATTACGTAGTTTTGCAATCAATTCCTCTTTCTTCGTGGTTTTGTTATGCATTTCGTGTGATGATTATAATGAATTCTTGTTTTAAATAGTCTGTTTTGTAAAGGGATGGAACAGCAGATTCTCCAGATCCTGAAAACTTCTGTTCAAAAATAGGCCTGAAATATAGTTTCATTCTAATCTGCTATAAAAAGTGGATTTCAATATATTTTGGTTCACAAGTTCTGCTTGTCTTCATACATTCCTTCTATAAGAGAATGGGGTAGATATTTCCTTTGCCGAATTAAATGAATGAAAACCATTCTCATCAAAATTCCCACAATTCATGAATACAGTAGGATATTTTCATTTGCTCTCTTCCCAATAGTTTATGAAATTATATTTCGATTCGGATTCGGATTCGCTCTTCTCACAATGCAAGGTGTGTAACTTAATAAATCTCAACATTCAAAAACACTAACAGTTGAAATTTCTGTGTCCTAACTATTATATAACTAATACCATCCAGAAACTCTAGGCAAAACTATTTAAAATATCACTGAAAAGTACCATCATAACGTTGAAATCGTATTTTGAAACAATCAATAGTTTTCGAGATATTCGAGAAAAACGAAAATACAAAATTCGAGTTCTTCAATAACTCAGAAATGACTGAGGCTAGTCAAGATTTCCTGACGGATTCTGAATTAAAATTGAATTTGCTGAAACTCTCCTAATTCAACCTATTCCCTATTTCTCACAGTTACCGAGATCCCAATGATGAGGATCGAATATGGGACACACGATATACTAACCTATTCATTCTCAGGAGTGAATTTCCATTCAATTTCATGAAGGATACCGGTATAGCAAAAATTATAGCGTTCACTTATATAATTTGTCATAATAACAGACTTTCATTGCAATTGAAACTGATTTCATGAAACATAAAGGTATGTATTAGGTTGTAAAATGTATGATAACATCGATACATACCTACTATTTATTTATTCCATCATATCCCGAATACAAAGTCGTATAGACTAATAATTATGTTAGTTCAATTTTTTTTTATGAATGACTCGGTGTATTTCTTTATTGCACAATTATTATCAAGGTATGTTTATTCAATGCATGCGGCTTGTAAATTCGAAGATCATGATAGTTTTCGATCGTCTACGAAATTGTCCAAATATTTACATTGTATTTGATGTAATATTGAACAAACAATTAGATTGTCAAATATGTACATACTAACTAAACGTTTAAAACAATTTTAGTTTGAGGCTGACTCTGCGTAGTTTTAATATATCATTAATTTAATTATGTATAAACATTGCACCAGTGAAATCACTATTTGGATATATGATCTTCCATACCTCTACCTATACTCTGGAAATGTCGAGTTTTTGGCATTAGAATAGAAATATGATTGGGCCGGTTTCGCAAACCGTTTTTTCCCCAGAGCTCTATAACTTTTTTGAATGATTATTGAAACACAACACACGACCAAGAATCAGATTATGAGGATTATCTTTGAATATTTGCATCTTGACAAGATCAAACAATGATTTGGCGATGAAGGTGTGACAGCCGATATTAACGTCAGGAAGTTAGGTTGACAATGTAGTTTTTCTTCTTCTTCCTTTTTCGTATTTGTGGAAACTTAGGCATTACACTGTTGCCCGTGCCACAAAATAATTTGGAATTAAATGAAATCTCGATCATTATTAGGAATAACTAGTAGGATATTATCGTTACATGAAGAACGCGGTAAAAAGCGTGACGTACTCATCCGTATCTATTCTCCTTATTTGTACAAGTACAAGAATATTTCTGATTGTCATTTCGATCAAAATATGAAAAAAGTTTGCCTCCTCAGAGGGTGCTCGCCCTAGACTCTAGTGGATTTTCTGGACTGAATACTTACTGCAGATAACAGAGAACACAACAGACAACTGAAGAATCAGAGAATTAGGAGGAATATCTTTGAGTATTCGCATCTTGACTAGATTAAACAAAGATTTGAAAGGGAAGGTGACATTAGGAAGTTGGGTTGACAATGTAGTTCGTCTTATTCTTCTCTTCTTGTATTTCTGGGAACTCAAAGCATTACGCTGTTGCC